CGTATTCAAAGTGATAGCAAAAAGTACAACTTAAACTAGATTTAACTAACTAGTTAAACTCGTTAGCAATAATCCTTCTTTTGTCATGTGTTGCCAGGTGAAATACCCAAAGAGATAAGCAATCTCGTTGACTTGGAGGAATTAAGTCTAGGGGAAAACAGTTTTAGTGGCTTACTTCAAATGATGATTTTCAACATATCAGGGTTAAGAATTATTAATCTTGCAGACAATGATATATCAGGAACCCTCCCATCAAACATAGGTTCGATCTTACCTAATATTGAATGTCTTTATCTGGGTGAATTGGCCAATCTTGTTGGGACTATTCCTCATTCAATCTCCAATTGTTCAAAACTTACTATTTTAGAGCTTTCTAGCAATAAACTCAGTGGCTTTATTCCCAACTCTCTTGGATGTTTGACTCATCTACAGTACCTAAACTTGCAGGAAAACAATTTAACTTGCGACTCATCTCTAAGCTTCCTCACTTCCTTAACCAATTGTAGAAATTTGACAATTCTTTCTCTAAATTAGAACCCTCTAAATGGCATGCTTCCACTTTCCATAGGTAACCTTTCCACATCTCTTACAATATTTTTGGCAAGTGGTTGCAAATTTAAAGGGAGAATTCCAAATGAAGTTGGGAACTTAAGCAGCTTATTTGACTTTGATATTTCTGGAAATGACTTGGTTGGATCAATTTCCACATCAATTGGCAACTTGAGAAACCTTCAACGCTTGTTCTTGAATGACAACAAACTTACAGGATTTATTGGTGATAACCTCTATAAATTGCCGCGATTGGGTAGCATACACTTGAGCCAAAATCACCTTTCAGGATCACTTCCTAATTGTTTAGGGAACACTTCCCTTAGGGAGATATGTCTGGGTTCTAATAAATTGAGTTCCAATGTACCAACAAGCTTAGGGAACCTTAAGGATCTAATAGTTCTTGACTTATCGTCAAATAACATGGGCGGTTCTTTACCTCCAGAAATTGGAAATCTAAAGGCTTTGATACAGATTGATATGTCAATGAATCAATTTTCAAATAGCATTCCTAGAGAAATCGGAGGCTTGCAAAATCTGGTGAACCTTTCTTTGAGACACAACAAGTTGCACGGATCTATACCTGACTCAATGAGCAATATGGTAGGTTTAGAACTCCTAGACCTTTCTCATAATAATATATCAGGAACCATTCCTAAGTCTTTTGAGAAACTTCAATACCTGAAGTATTTCAATGTCTCTTATAACAAGTTGTATGGTGAAATCCCCTCTGGGGGTCCTTTCAAGAACCTCTCAAGTCAGTTTTTTCTCTTCAACGAAGCTTTATGTGGTTCGAAAGGATTTAGTGTCCCGCCATGCCCCACTTCTTCAAAGCATAGATCAAATAGGAATAGAATGCTACTTCTATTTCTTTCACTGGGAATTGCACTGGTATATGTTCCTATCACTTTTGTGTTTGTATGGATAAGGTATAGAAAAGGGAAAAGAGCTCCTCAACAAACGAATTCATTGTCTATTGCAACAAGAGGAAGAATTTCATATTATGAACTGCTCCAAGCAACTGATGCGCTTAGCGAGAGTAATCTAATTGGTTCTGGGAGTTTTGGCTCTGTCTATAAAGGCATTCTCAGAAGTAGGACTCCTATTGCAGTTAAGGTGTTCAATCTGCAATTGGAAGAGGCATTCAAGAGTTTTGATACAGAATGTGAAGTTTGGTGTAACCTCCGCCATAGGAATCTCATGAAAATCATCACTAGTTGTTCCAACCTTGATTTTAAGGCTTTAGTACTAGAGTACATGCCCAATGGAAGCCTCGATAAGTGGTTGTATTCACACAACTACTTCTTAGACATC